GGTCTACACTCACAATCCAGATGGACCAGAATGCACATTAGCCCAGTCTCCTTTGTCCACATATCATAATTCCATTTAAACTAGTTCCTAATTCTAGGACCAACCCACCCAATCATTCTTTCTTCTGCCCCAACATGTTCTCTCCATATCAGACAGGGATCTAATGAAAGAAATCCACAGGCCTAGATCTCATTGTAGAAAACTTCCTGAATAGGACTCCATTTGACTAGGAATCAAGACCACCAACTTACAAGTGGGGCTTCCTAAAACTAAAAAGCTTCTACACAGCTAAAGAAGCAAACTCATGAAGAGAAGCCCACAGAATGGGACAGAATCTTCCCCAGCTATCAGAGGATTAATATACAGAATATATAAAGAACTAAAAAAACCTCACAAAGATTCAAAATTAAATAAGTAAATAAAACCACTACTGCTACAAAAATCCAACCCATTCAAAAAACTGCACTGGGCTATAAACGGAGTGTTCTCAAGAAGAAGAGGAGGAAGAGGAGGACAAGGAGGAAGAGGAAGAAGAAAACGAGTTTAAAAAATTTTATCATCCCTTGTTATTAGGAAAATGCAAATCAAAACAACTTTGAGACTTCATCTTACCCCTGTCAGAATGGCCAAGATCAATAACCAACAACAAATGCTGGGTAGGGTAAGGGGCAAGGGAGACCATCATTCACTTTTGGTGGGATTGTAAACTGATAGAGCCAATATAGAAATCAGTGTAGAGGAATGGCTAAAATCAAAAACACCAATGACAGTTTATGTTGGAGAGGATGTGGAGAAAGGGGAACAGCTGGTGGGAGTGCCAGCTCATACAGCCACTTTGGAAATAAGTATGGCAATTCCTCAGGAAAATGGGAATCAGGCTACCACAAGATCCAGCAATTCTACTCTTAGGCATATATCCAAAAGAAGCACATTCATACAACAAGGATATCTCTTCAATTATGTTCATAACAGCATTATTTGTAATAGCCAGAACCTAGAAGCAACCTAGATGCCCCTCAACTGAAGAATGGGTATTGAAAATGTGGTACATTTACACTACTCAGCAGAAAAAAAAGACAATGGAATCTTGAAATTTGCAGGCAAATGGATGGAACTAGAAGAAACCATTCTGAGTGAGGGAACCCAGTCACAAAAAGACAAACATGGTATGTACTCACTCATATATGGTTTTTACACATAGAGAAAAAGATTACAAGCCTACAATCCACACCGCCAGAGAAGCTAGGAAATAAGGAGGACTCTAAGAGAGACATACATGGTCCCCTGGAGAAGGGGAAAGGGACAAGATCTCCTGAGCAAATTGGAAGCATGGGGGGAGGGAAGAGCGAGCTAGGAGAATGAGAAATGGAGAAGAGGAGGGGTGAGGAATACACAAGGGAAAAGGAAGGTTGAGTTAGGGGAAGAATAGAGGAGAGCAAGATAAGAGATTCCATAATAGAGAGAGACATTTTAGGTTTAAAGAGAAATCAGGAGCTAGGGAAATGTCTGGAGATCTACTAAGATGACACCAACTAACAACCTAAGCAACAGAGGAAAGGCTACCTTAAATGCCCTTCCTTGATAATGAGATTGATGACTGACTTATATGCCATCATATAGCCTTCATCCAGCAGCTGGTGGAAGTAGAAGCAGACACCCACAGCTAAACCTTGAACTGAATTGAAATCCAGATGCAGAGAAGGAGGAGTGATGAGCAAAGTGGTCCAGACAAGGCTGGTGAAGCCCACAGAAACAGCTGACCTGAACAAGGGGGTTCTCTTGGTCCCCAAACTGATAGCTGGGAAACCAGCATGGAACTGATTCAGACCCCATGAATGTGGCTGTCAATGAAGAGACCTCGGATATCTATGGGGCCTCTTGGAGTAGATCAGTACTTATCCCTAGCATAGGAATGGACTTTGAGAGCCTATTCCACATAGAGGGATACTCTCTGAGCCTAGACACACCCGGGTGGGCTTATGCCCTATGATATGCCTTATGCCCAAATGATATGACAGACTCTGAAGACCCCCTATGGAATGCCTTACCATCCCTGGGGAGCAGAAAGGGTATGGAATAAGTAGGGTGTTAGTTGAGGGTGGCAGGGGAGGAGGAGAGGGAGAGGGAACTGGGATTGAAAAAATCTTGTTTCTAATTCAAATAAAAAATGGAGAAAAAAGAAATCAGTATAGAGAATACTTAAAAATTAAACCCAAATCTGTATCTCCTGTTATATGCCCAGGTGACTCAACATCTTATTCCCCAGAAACTTGCTCATCCATGGTCATTGCTCCTCTATTCACAATAGCTATGAAATGCAAACAACCTAAATGTGTTTCAGCTGATTAATGGATAATGAAAATGTGGTAAATATACAACATGGAATATTATTCAGCCATAAAGAAATATGAAATGGTCTTTGAAGGTAAATGTGTGGGTCTAAAATAAAATAATGAGTAGTATACCTATCCCAAAGAGACAAACATCCCATGTTCTTTCTCATCTAAGGCTCATAGTTTCAAGTTTTTAGCTATGAGTATATATCATAGATTAAGTGCAGAAAACAAGAAAGTAAAAAGAGACCATTGCAAGGGTGCAAGGCTAGGGGCACAATAAAGATGAGTATAGAAGAGTTCAAGAGCTCTGATTGGGAAATGGGAAAAGGGAAAAGGGAAAAGCAGGGATGCTCTAATTAAGGATGGGAAAAGGAGATAAATACAGAATGAGAGAGGAGGGGAATATAACTGTCAGAATTTCTCAAAGAGTGACAAGGAATTATAATATTAACCAATTAAGGTAATTAAGGTAATATAATGTTTTCTTAAAAAACCTATAATACACATACAGCTGTGTCCAAATATACATCTATAGTTTAAATGAAAATTTCCCATCTGGGTTGACAATGCTCAATCACAGAGCCAAAGACTATCTTATAAAAATCCAAACAGCAGACATGAGAAATCCTCTTTTAAACTGTTGGTTAGCGCTGTTCAAGAAACTCACAAAATGTTACAGACTTGTTATTGCCCTTATTTACCTCTCAGAGGTGGAAGGTAAATCTCTACTGACAAAGACACCATGTGTTTCAGAAACAGGGACCAGAGGCCTCTGAGCTGGAACTAACTTGAAAGCTTCCTCCTTGAGGACTAGATTTAATGGTACCATAAGGCATCATGTAACCTTCCAAAGGAGGAATGCAATCAACAAGCCTACCCAGCTCGGAGGCCTATTAACCACAACAATGACCAACATAGTGAAATAACCCTAAGTGTGCAGTAGTGAGTTGCACACATACTTTGGTGATGACCAACAGCTCTCTAATTGGACTTAAGACCTGTTTAATAAGAGAAAACTAATGTTTGGTACTCGGAACATACCAACTACCATGGATCCTGGAGGAGAATCTATAACTGCTAATTGGCTAAGCCAGCATAATCCCTTACTACATTCTAAACATCTGTCCTTACATCCACAGTTAAGTGTAGTTTCATTTCTCATCATGGAAATTTCTCTTTGCAACATTCAGAAAACCATTCAGAGACCATTCAGAAAACCAAAACCAATCAAAAATTCAAATTTGTAGAGACTGCCCCAATAGGTTTATATACAAAAAAATCCCCACACCCAAGGCTCAGGTAATATTGTGCAAGAGGTTGTGGAAATATTGTAAGAGCCAAAGGATCAGGGGTTTTCCAATGATTGTGTATTCTCAGACTGTTAGAATCTATGCATGTGAGTTCTCACCAGCATGACTGCCTAAACATTGCTGAATAAGCACACCAATAATAGACCTGGACAGGGAAAGCTCAAGAGGCCCAAACCCTACACTAAAGTGCTACAGGCAACTAAAAAATGCTGAAGATGGGAGAAATGTTTGTCCCCTAAGCATGCGCACCAAATGGTCATCTAATAGCAAAATGGACAGCCCTAAAAACATGGAACATGTACAGTATAATTATACAAACTGAACATGATAAATCTATATCTATGTCCTTATATAGATACAATATAAAAATACTGAAAAAGAGTTCATGAATTTTAAAATGGTCAAGGTGTGGTATATTTGGGAAGATTTGGATGGAGGAAAGCAAAGGTGGAAATGATAAAATTATACTATAATCTCAAAAACCAAAAGAACAAATTACAAAATGAGAACCTAATCTTTGAAATCATACCAACTCAAAGGCAAAGTATTTTTTTTTTAAATCAGCATTAAAACAAAAGACTAGAAGCATCCAGACTCCAAGTCCAGCGAGTGCATTCAGTGTTCCCGACATACTAGGGCTATGTTTATCCTTAAAAAGAATAACAGCCACTTATTTTGTTCTCTAACTTTCTTTAGCTTAATTCATAGTAGTGCATGAAATTCCATGTGTAGATGGACTTATGACTACTGTCTTATACAAGAAAACACGGAAACTTCAATAAGTCAAGTAATTTCGTGTTTGACAAAATAACTAGGAAAAGAGAGGAAAGATTCATTGAACAGATTTGTGAACTAAGTGGTCTCTTCAACTTTTTGTACGTCTAGAAAAGCTGAGAATTTATAGAAAATACATAGACACATTAAATATGATTGAAGAGTGACCAACTTGCTTAAAATCCATTTCCTTGATAAAGCTTCACCCCTTGACACATCTATTAGGCCTCACATTTGATAGGCATAATCCAAACATGGGAAACCCACATCAATATAGAATGTCTTGTAAACTGATGGTCTGTCTCCTTGACAAAAATAAAAAAGACTACATTCTACTTTTTGGGATTTGGAAGTCTTCAAAGGTGAGCAAGGCACTGTGAACAATGGAGCTCAGCCTTCTGCCAGGATCAATGACTGGGAGAAAAGTGAGTAGATGAAATCTGTGGCAAACTCATAGTCATATCTATAGTCCCACATAGCCAAAGACAGGATGGTAACAGATAGTAGGGAAGAGAGGAACAGAATAAAGTTCCATTGCCCAATGGAGTGGAGAGGATGAGTGTGCTGGGGCTAGACTCACCTTGAACGATACAAGCACCCAGATAGGCAGCATCAGAAAAGGAGCACAACAGTCGACCATGAAAAATGTCTCTTTTAATTTGCAAATATAAAAGATATCTGCAACAGAAAAGGAGAAATAATCATAAGTGTTAGTTGAAGTCTGGAAGTAGGAATTGTTATGCTCTGTCTACCCGAAACACTAAAGCCACACCTAGCTCTAGGCAGTAGCTTAGACACATCAAGCCTCCTTTAGATGAGTACATGCAGAAAGAAGTGGAGATTTCACAATTTAGAAACCCAAAGTTTATGTTAGTTTCCAAAGGTAAATGGGCTCAGCCTTTCTAAGAAACCCAAGAGTAATAAAGAAACACACGACCTAGCAGTCACTGCTACCACACAAGGAAAACCACAACTTATATCACCCATATCCCAAGTGTCTTTTGAAATTTGCTTAAAAAAAAAACACTTTATTTTAGCCAGGTGGTGGTTAATGCCTTTAATCCCAGCATATGGGAGGCAGAGGCAGGTGGATCTCTCTATGAGTTTGAGATCAGCCTGGTCTAGAAGAGCTAGTCCTAGGACAGGCTCCAAAGCTACACAGAGAAACCCTGTCTCGAAAAACAACACCCGCCCCAAAACACCTCTAAACAACTTTATTTTATGTGTATTTATAATCAGGAGCTGGGTTCAATTAGTATACACCCATTGTTCCTCACAAAAAGGCGGCACAGCATCACAATAACTACTCAATAAAAACTTAACAACAGCAACAAATTTGGTTTTGACGCCAAATCCAGTTGACTGACACTTGGATTGGGCTCTTGTGTCATTATATTTGGTCTCTGCTCCTCTGCAGAGAAAGTCAGATACTTGTAGAGGCACAAATGTGGTTGGTAAATTGGGCTGGGAAAGCAGAATGAAAAGTGGGCTATATTATGGCAGGATCAACTACTATGAAACTCTGCCTGGGCTGTCTTGTAGAAAAGCTGAAAAGATGTGTTCACTTTGTAAGAAAATTCAAGAGGTTGTATTTACAAGGGAAACATTTACACTGATAAATATTATAACAATACTTTTTTTCTAAAACTTATTTATGTATGGTGTATGCATTTATTTATTTATTTATTTATTTATTTATTTATTTATTTATTTTACATCCCGGCCACAGTTTCCCCTTTCTCCTCTCCTCCTAATCCCACCCCCAACTCCTCTTTGTTCCCACCCCCTTATCCAATTCTCCTCCATTTCTGTTTAGAAAAGGGCAGTATCCCGTTAATATCAAGTATCAAGTATCAAGTTGCTGTAAGACTAATTTATACCTTCCCATATATTAAGGCTGGTCAAGGCGACCCAGTATGAAGAGTAGGGTCCAAAAGCCAGTAAAAAAGCTGGAGGCTGCCCCTGTTCCCACTGTTAGGAGTCCCACAGAAGACCTACAGAACTGTAGCATACATACAGGATGCCTAGGTCAGTCCCATGCAGACTTCCTGGTTGTCAGTTCAGTCTCTGTGAGCTCTGACTGGGTCACTCAGTCAGTTCTAACCCTTACTGTTTGTTCTCAGTGGGCAGGCTGAAGTTTAAGGAAAGGCCTGCCTATTTGTGACTACCTGCTGGAGAGTTATTTAAGATATTATGGTCTTTTAATAATTGAGTGACTATTCATGATATTTTTTCCTACTCATGACAGTTTTTTTCCTTGTGAAATTTTATAACAATACTTTTAAAAGAACATTATAGTTAAAAAAAAAAACCCAGAGGCAACAGTTGGTAGGCACTGGCTTCCACGCCCTTGTCTCTATCCTTTGAGTTCATCTATGCAGAACAAATTCTTTTCAGGTTCCATGCTCTTTCTTAACCAAATTGACTCTTCTTCTCCAGGCTCATGTCTGGTGTCTGTTTTGTTTTTTAACCAAAGTAACATATTCCATTCACACCAATGTTAAGATTTAACTACAGGAGACTCCTCCCCTCCCATCATTCTATATCCAGAGGGAAGCCCCTAGAAACACCTTTCAATCAGTCAATTACAATTTTGAGATGGTTAATTTTGGACATTCGCTTAACTGGGCCATGGGATACCCAGATATGCAGTTAACTATGATTTCTGGGTGCCTTTAAGGGTGTTTATGTGTTAGTGAACCGGCAAAGCAGATGACTACCCTATTTGGGGTTGACATCGTGAATGTGTTAGAGGACTGAATAAGGCAGAAATGCAAAGGTAGGGTGAGTTTACTTTAACTGGCAATGGGGAATATTCTGTCTTTTGTGCTCCTTATCCCTAGGCCTTTAAACCTGGATTAAATCCACTGGCCCTATGCAGCCCCTCTCCTGAAGACTGGGGGGCTTTTCAACCTCCATAAAGATGCAAGGTAATTCCTTATAATAATTTTTTATGCAAACACACATACGCAGCCACTCATGCATGCACACACACACACACACACACACACACACACACACACACACACACACACACACACCCCACACATATAAATCCTATTGTATGTTTCTCTGGAAAAACTCTGACTAAATACCTCTACTACTTAATAATTTGCTTTTTACTCAGTCTTATGATGGGCCAAAGCACAATTCTACTTTAAAGATAGAGAAATAGAAAATCAGAGAGAGATTTGTGAGCTAATCATAAAGATTTTCCTTGGTGCAGGGCAAGAGAGCTGCCAGTGCTGGGGGCTGCTTCACTGAAATCACATCGGGCACAATGAAGGATTCATTGGCTTACTGGTGTTTTCTTCACATGGATCTTTGTCTCACATGCTTTATGCTATCCATTGTTGTAGCCATCGAGGTATAAGGGACATGTGGCAGGTTAAAAAGATGACCTGTTTCCATTTTAGTACATAATTGTATTAAAGAGATGAAGTATCTAATAACTTTATTACTCAGTTTGAATTGACAATATAGACTAGCTTCCTGTACTGAAGCCTGCCATCTTTAATGAGCACATTTATTACCCAAAGATGTTGTTAAAAATATTATTTTGATTCAGCAGGTAGGTAGGCTATTTATGTATTCAGAACTACCTGATAATTCTGTGTCATGAGCATACTTTGGATAATAAGTTTCTCAATCTCCAGTGAACGTGAGAATCACTAAGGGAGGTGGAGCTGGAGCTCTTATCCTTAACTACTAGACAAATGCAAATTAAAGGTACTTGGATATTCATTTCCCCCAGTCAGAGTGGGTAAGATACAAAAACCAATGATGACAGATCCTGGGAATTGGGAAGCACTTATTCACTGCTGGTGAGAGTGCAAATGGCCTAGCTACTATGGAAATCAGTGTGGAGATTCCTCAAAGAACAGTAATTAGATCTAATATATGGTATACTATACCACTCTTGGGCATATCCTGCTATAGAGATACTTCCTCAAATATGTCTACTGCCACAGTATTCACAATAGCCAGGAATGGAAACAGTCTAGATGTCTATGAGTAGATGAATGGACAACGAACACACAGTATATTTACCCAATGGTATATTAATCAGCTATTATGAAAGTCACAAGTGCCCTGAAAGAAAAAAATTCACATTTTCGCTCACAATTGTGGACATTAGCCTAGAATCTTTAGACATATGTTTTCTTTTCTCAGTGGGAGAAACACACAGAAGTTAGGAACTTAAAGTGTCCATAGAAAGGGGCTTTCACTGGTATAAAGGGTTAAAGGGAAATTATGGGACAAGAAATGATAAATAGATATGGGAAAGGGGGAGAAAGTGTATTAGAGAAAAACCAGGATGGAGAAATAACACTAAAAACATATCCAAAATGTCATATGGAAACCTACTACTGTAGAATCATCATGCATCTATATACATACATAAAAAGAGTTGAAATGCAGTTATCCTATAACAGGCTAACAAATACAAAGTTATGTCCTAGGAGTAGTAACACATTTTGCAGTTATTGGCAAGTGAGGTCACAAAGACCCCCCAAACATTGCATGCTATTGCCAATGCTCGTGCTTCTCCTCCAGAACTTGGTGGTGAAAGCTAGGTGCTGATGACAGCACATACCTGAGTCTTGGAATATGTAGAAATGAAGCTGGTACTGACCTGGAAACTTTTCTACTGGCTAGCTTTCAAAATTCTGGGAGGAGCTGTGGAATCTACAAGAGGCCAGGATAAACATTAATTGTATCCAACAGTGCACCATGTAAGACACAATGCCTGGCCTAGCAAGACATGCCCACTGGGGCAATAACGGCTTGAACAACATGCAATTTTCTGATTGGATTTAAGTCCTGCTCATACTTCACCATTATGGGAGTGAGAAACTCTGACTAGACAGGTTATAGGTTCTAGAAAGCGACCTAATACACTTATTCTGCTAAAAGTCTATTATACCAAAACAAACCCTGATGGTTATTGTTACACCCATAGATTAAGGTACCTCTCAACCTTCATCAGAGAGGATGTTTCCATTTGCACTAGATGATGATCAAAACAACAACCCCTTACTAGCTAAGATGCAAGGAATAAGAGACTTCAGAATAGTCAACTCTATATGGAACATGTATATCACCTCCCCCTCTTCCAAAGATGACAGAAAGAGTGTAAGAGCCAGATATGGTGGATGACTACAAAGAAACATTGTCTTTTGGACACAGAAGGGAAGCTGTGCTTATGAACTCAAAGCTGTTATGATAGGATACATAAGACTTGTTCAGTTCAAACCATAGCAAATTCCAGCATGGAAAGGGGAACTGGGTATGAAGACCACCCACCAGGCAAATAGCTATTGACAATTTGTTGACTGCTGGGAAAGAGTTACTTATTTATTTATTCCAAGAAGGTAGGCCCCCATAAATTCACTGTGTTCTAGTGTAAGGTCACACATCCAAGAATACTGCGGTAATACAAACTGGTTGTGATTGGGGAAAAAACACAAAATTGGGTGGGAAGGGAAGTGGAGTAGATAGGGGAATAGGAGGGAGGTTGAAAATGGTCAAAATTCATTTACAAAACTCACGAAGAACTAATTAAAAAATAAAATTAGGAAAAATACCAATTCTATATATTTTTAAATGGTACCTTACATCCAACTAAATCAGCATCTAGGCTCTCATCAAAATTTGTACATTATTAATTATAACTAAAAAGTAGTAACAGTTCAAATGCTCACTAACTAATGAATGGATAAAATATATATACACACAAAAATAATTTAAGTATAAAACTAAAAAGCTGATAGATATTAGAGTTATTAACTATAATTTGATATGAATTTTATTAACAAATAAGACTTGTTAACAAGTGACTCATTCTTTGTATTAGATTGTGATGTATGTTCAAAGTTTCTTCACCAATTGGTTGTTCAGTACCTAATGGTCAGTCCTGAAAACATATATACAATTAACTTTATATGGACTGGATAGGTTATATTTAGGAGTATACATGTACATAGTTACATATATTCATGAGGGCAATAGCAATTATTAAAAAAAGAGGCTATGAATCTGAAGGAGAGTATGGGGGAGATGTATATGAAGGACTTAGAGTGAGGAAAGAGAAGGGAGATATGTAATTATAGTACAATTTCAAAAGTAAAATAAGAGATTTGTAGAGAAAAATGACAGAAATAAATCATTTTATATGTTTTTAATTGAAATAGAATTATATAACTTTCGTCTTTCAATTTCCTTCCTCCAGCCCCTCCCAGATACTCTTCCTCTAACCTCACCCAGGGGCCTCCAACTCTCACTATGATACTCTTTTTTCTTTGATTATTATTGTTACATATGTACACATATATGTATATAATATAAAACACATACATATATGTATATAATATATACATAATATAACATGCATATTATACTTATAGACATATGTACACGTGTGCGTATATGTATGCACTATACATATAAGTATATAATAAAATATGTATGAATGTTATTATATATGTATTTATGTATGTATTTTTCTAATTATGCTGTTAGTATATTTGGGATTCTTTCAGTTAAAAAAATTTTCTTGGGTTTTGGTGTGGCCTTAGGTGCATCATTTATTTTTTTTTTGTGCATATTCCTTTTAGTTTTTTATTGTTGTTATTTGAGATTTGGGGTGGTGCCAAAGGTGTTATTTTGGTTTTGTGTTGTGTTGTTTTTTTTTTTTTTTTTTGGTCTATCTCATTGTACACTTCCACCTGGGTAGATACTTAGAACTGAGGAAAAATTAATCAAATAAATTTTAAATAATTCAGGCCAAATCAGGTCACAGATGTATACCCCACTATTTCACTGACATGAGGTATCAGGAATAGATAAATCAATAGACATAGAAAATAGTTTAGTTGTTTTCTGGGGATAGAATGGAGAGACAGATCATAACTGCTATTAAATAATGTGTTTTTGTTTTTCTAATGGAGTAGTGAAAATATTCTGGAATTCAATAGTGGTAATAGTTTTCCAACATTATGAAGGTGCTTTGTGAAATTAATTTAGTTCAATTAAAAAATAAAAAAGGGTGGCAAAATAACATTACCTAAAATATCTCTTACATATTTTTTTCCTTCACAACACACACACACACACACACACACACACACACACACACACACACACACCACACCACACATGAACTCTCTTTCTCTGCTCCTGTACTCCCAGAACAAGCATCATGAAAGGGATGTGGACAAATTGATCAGATAAAACAACTATCTGCTCCCTTCACTACTTATGGCCAACTATCACTATAGGCCACAGATAACCGAAAAGCAAAATCTGCTAAGACTTAACATTCCACCTGCCTTTCTGTTGGATCAGGACCTATGCAGACTATTGTTAGTTATAATTACATATGGCAATTTGGATGTCACCCAATTAGAGTCTCATCAAGAACTAAGTGCATAACAGCTCTTTCACATGTCCATCCAAAAGGTCTTGGAGTCTTGTTCAGCAACTTTTACCAAGTTTTTCAGAGAAACAAAGCTCCAAGGTCAACTGAATGTAAACCTAGCAGAGAGAGATGAAAGAAAAGTAGAAGTAGACAGTTCACAGAGCTGGGCTGAGAAGAGTGCACAAATGAAGGAAAGACTACCTGGCACTTGCCATTTAGCAAGTGGAAAGCTGAACAGTTAACTGTCCACTCTTTCCAGAAATCTGTCCTTCCAGAAAGGCTTAGATCTAAAAGACAGACTAGGGCTGCCCTCTGCATTTGCCCATATCTTCTGCTTACTGTGGGCATCACACTGCCAAATGATCTCTGAGAGCCTCCCTCTCTCTCTCTCTCTCTCTCTCTCTCTCTCTCTCTCTCTCTCTCTCTCTCTCTCTCATAACCATTGCTGTCATGTACAGATAATACTTTTTGAATGACAATCGTTCTCTAGACAGTATCCCAAGAGTATCAAGAGCAAGAGGAGCACAATGCTGACTCTAGAGTCTGCTCCCTGGAGGTGTTCTTTCTGATCGAGATAAAAGGAATATCTAGCCTTTAAGACAGCAGAGGATACAAGCAGTAGAGTAAATATGCAGAAAAGGAAAAATACCTTGTGAGCTCTTCTTTAATCTTCAAGGGTTCATGTGGGTAGAATTTCACTCTAAAGCACATGGTGTATGGTGGATGAGCTGAAACATCATAAAGAAAAGGCATGAGATAAGCGGCAGAAGATCACAGACTCAAACACACACAGGAACGTCAGCCATGAAGCTTCACAAACTAGCGGGAACGGAGGGGTGTTGTAAGGAAGAAGCCAATAGAATGCCTAAGAAAATAGTAATGATGGTGACACAAACAAAGAAAGTGCTTAATAGGACATCCAGAGCAAATGCTGGATACAGGCAACCAAGGAGGAAGCCCATCTTTCCTCGACACAACTCACCTTCATCCCTTCATCTTTCAAGATCACAACTCCAAGGAATATTTTCTCCTCTGATACTTCCCACCCCCATGAGAAAGACAAACTGCCAAAAAGCACCATTCAGAGTTTGGGTGCATGAAAGAATTTGTAGTGTGTCAGGTGGGAAATTGTTGTCTTTGAAGGATAACTTTGATTTTAAAGAAGTTGGCCACATACACACTTGTAGGTTTTTATTATTAGCCAACTATGAGGCTAAATGAAATTTTATTCCCTAATTCTTCTTTCAAGGTAAGCAGGGGACATCAGCAGACAGTGGAAAGTATTTGTACTATTGTAGATGTAATCAATTATGTTTCACAGAAACAACCATTAGTTATAAGTCTGACTGTATAATGAAGAAAATTCATACGGGAAATAATTATCACACTGATTTTATAGTTGAGCTGATGAGATAGCTTGGTAAGTGAAGAAGCTGGCCCTGAACCTGATGACCTGAGCTCAGTCCCTGAGACCTGCATGGTGAATTGGAGAACCAACTCCTGCAAATTGTCCTCTGAACTTCACATGCCCTACCTCAAATAATAATAAAAAAAGAGTTACAGTTAAAAATAATCCAATAGAACACACACCCATCATAAGAACAGCACTTTTATGCAAGTAAAGAAAATGTGAACACACACACACACAAATGAATACACACTCAGAATCACACTGCATTCCAGTACTCAAGAAGTAGAGGCAGGAAAATCACCATGAGTTTGAAGCCAGACTGGTCTACAAAAGAGTTCTATGTGGATGAGAGCTAAATAGTGAAACCCTATCTTTAAAAACTGATAAATTCTAATTAAAGAAAGGAGGGACTAAGTAGATGACTCAGTGTGAAGAACACTTTCTGGGTAAGCCAAGAGGACCCAAGATCAAGTTCTTAACACACACATAAAAGTCAGTATGGCTGTGCAGACCTCAACTCTTGTACTGATTGATGGGCAGACACTGGTAGCTCCTAAGTCAGCTTAGTCAGATGGTATGCTTCACTTTCAGTAAGCAAGCCTGACACCCCCACTCCCAAAAGGCAGAGAATATGAAAGAAAAGAAAGTCCTCCTCTGGCTTCCAAATGCATGTGCATGGTACATGGATATACACACCCAAGTGCACATCATACACACAAATGAATACAATGAAAGCATATTTTCCTAAGTACTAGGATAAAATGGACAGTTTTCACATAGAAATAATGAAATTTAGAAAAATACAGTGAGTCTCATCATTCACCTTTCATATCTAGAACATTAAATATTTTATCACTGAACATCATGTGGAATTTATTTGATTTTTTGAAAAAATATTTAATTTATGAAACTAATGAATTTTCGCTTTCATTATAAAACATTTGTACTTTTTTCTTTTATTTTCAGATTATAAATACCTCATTTCTCCCTTCCCTTTATTCCATCCAAACATGCTTTTAGCAGAAAACTATCTTTACAAGAGAAGAAGAATTGAACCAAAGATTGAAGAGGATAATTTTCTACATTTTGTGTATTTCTTTCTCATTTATCCTTTATTAAAATTTTCTAATTTAGTGTAGTTTTAACATAAGTGAACAATATAGAGACATATATATAAAATAGAAGGATGGGTAGGCCAGTCTCCTTCAGTTTGTCTCTGTTGCTGACCTTTCATTGTTCAAGTTCTTATCAAATGTAATCTTTCCTCTCACTATTAATAAATTTCTTTATATCCTTCTGTAACTTTTGTGATTTCATGTATATATATATATTCTTATAAGCTAATTTATGTGGAGGCATCTTTAATTATTCTCTCAAAATTAAATCAAATCAAGCATGTTTCTGTTATTTCTCTCATGTAAAGCTGTATCTGTCCTTTCCTCCAGTTGGGTAGATATACTATTTATACAACTCATTTTCCATAAGCTGTAATAGCTAATGTGTACAAATACAAATTTACTTACATATTTGCCTTTAATTATCATTTAAGGTTAATTTAAAATTTTCACAATTAAAATATGGTATGGTATGCATTATTTTATGTAAGTCATGATACATTCCATGGCTTGGTCAACATGGTCTGAAAAACTGTTTTCAAAGATATAGAAAACTGAATTTCCTCAATGGAGGTAAACTACCAAAAGAGGTGATAACAGAGGACAGCCATAATCTTCTATGACTTGTACTTATTATTCTGTACAGTTGGTTGCAGCACATAGTTAAGTTCATCACACTCAAATCAAGGCTAGAAATCTACAGAGAAAGACACAGCTCCAAAGTCACCATCTTTGAGTACATCTGAGAGGAGGAACACATCCACCCAGTCACCCTTACTCTAAGATAAAATCTGCCTCTGTCTTGTGAGAATTGCACCTTGTTAGAAAACAGTGCACTATTTATACAACAAGGGCATCTGTTCAACTATGTTCATAGAAGCATTATTTGTAATAGCCAGAATCTGGAAGCAACCTAGATGCCCTCAACCAAAGAATGGATACAGAAAATGTGGTACATTTACACAAGGAAGTATTATTACTGCTGAAAAACATATACTAAACAATGTAAATGTAAGTGTGTGTGTGTGTGTGTGTGTGTGTGTGTGTGTGTGTGTGTGTGTGTATTACCATTGACAAGCAGCAGCAAAGGGAAGACTATGCCAGGATCATGAAACTGCTCTGGAAAACACAGAGGTATCTACTGGTTGACAGACCAATCCCTGTCAGGCAGGACAAGTGTGTCCTTAGGGAATATTAGTGGCCCCTTTGTATCAGTAGACACCTAAGTCCTCTTCTTTTGGTAGTCATTCTTTTCAGAAATGAATAGATTTTTTGTTATGCATTTATTGGTTTCTTAAAAAAATTCCTACAGTTTGATCACATTCTTGAAGCCCATCCCACTGAATTCAGGAATGAGACATGGTTTTTCACTCTTCCCACTCCCTTTCAATGTTAGGTTCAAAGTATTATCTGGAACAATATGGCAAGAAATGGAATTTAAAGGGAAATAAATAGAGAAAGAGTAAGTCAAGCTACTCCTATTTGCAGATTATATGAAATTTTATATAAGAGACCTCAAAAAATATGCCAGAAAACCTGTAGAAATGGTAAACAAATTCAGCAATGTGTCAAGATACAGATTGAACTCACACAAATCAGTATTTTTTCTACACAACAAAAACAATAATACAAAGAAGTCATAGACAATTCCACTCAGAATACCATCAAAAATTATCTAGAAATAAACCTATTCAAAGAGGTGAAAACTTTAAAGTTCTAAAGAAAGACAGTAGAAAATGGAAAAACTCCCCTTGCTCATGTATTTGTAGAATTAATATTGAGACAATGACTGTTCTACTAAAGCTATGGACAAATATAATGCGATCCCAATCAAAATTACCATCTGATTCTTTACAGAAATAATAGTCATCATTATCATCTATTAAAATTCATATGAAACCACAAAAGTTCATAGACAACCAAAACAATCCTGAGTAAAAAGAGCAATAACAGAAGGATTATCTTTCCAAGTCTTGAGTAAGGAACCATAGTAATAAAAGAAAAATTATACTGTCACGAAAACAGACATGTGTTGAATCCACTGTCAGGAGAACACATAACTTCAGCCATTTAATATGTGACAAAGGTGAAAAAACTTATCCTGGAGAAATGAAAGCATCTTCAACAAATAACTCTGGGAAAACCAGATGCCTACAGGGAGGAGAATAAAATTGGATCAGAATCTATTATGTTGTACAAAAACTAACTTCAAGTGGATCTAAGACATAAATGTGAGAGCTGAAACTGCTAGAAGGGGAAATAGACAGCGCCTACAGGATATAAGAATAGGAAAGGACTTTCTGAATGAGGACTTTATGCCCAACATTTAAAGTCACCAGCTGACAAGTGGAATTTCATAACATTAAAAAGCTGTGCAGCTAAAGAAACAATCAAATGGGTCAAATGGTGAAGAGGAGTCCCATAGAGTTGGAATCTTTGCCTTCTATACATCTCACTGAGAATTATACCCAGAATATATAAAGTACTCAAAAAACAAAGAGTCAAACAAAAAAAACCAACCACTGAACTGAAACCTTTGGTTTACTTGTTCAGTGGATACTGGTTAACTAAGACTGAAATATGATGATTATGAAGAGATCCATTAAGCTGAAATCTGGGAATTTTCTTCTCACACACAAAGGGGGAGCTGCTGAGTCAGAGTTAAGATTGCATCTCAAGCTTGCAGAAAAAAAAAATTGGTAATGTTTCAGAGTCTCTTTCATCTTACTAGTTTGGGTGGTGTGAAAACTTGTAGGATCTGGAAACCATGGGCCATGTACAGAAGCTGAAGCCTGACACTGCAAAAGGTAAGGGGAAACAATTGGTGAAGGTGCAGCTCAGTTGTTGTGGAAACAACAGGATCGAAGGGGCACTGAAAAGAAGCTGAGGACTGGAACTATGTGACAAGGTGAGAGAGTCCCTGAAGGGAGGTCATAAGGTCATTTGTGAAGGTGTAGCCTGTGGTGACCCAGCATATTACAGATGCCAGACTAGGAGATGACTACCAAGGACACAAACACTTATGAAGTAGAGCTAGCCTAAGCATTGCAAACAAGCTGTGTGTGCTGCAGATGTCAGAGCAAGAGAACTGAAGTTGCCCGAGTCTTTTGCAGTCAAGAAAATTGTGACTAAATTCCGGTAATTGGACGCTGAGTTGTTTGCACTGCTGGAGTCTGGCTTTGCTTTGATCTGATTATTACTGTGTCCTGGTTCTTCACTCTGACAGTAAGAAATTATTGAACTTAGTTTTGATTTTACAGGAGGCCATAGTAAAAAGACTTTGGATATTTTACAGACACTAGCCTTTTAGAGAACAGCGATCTTTTAAAGTTTGAATGTTGTATATTGTGATATTGATGTTAATATGAGATGTTGGAGATATACGAGAGGAAAAGACGTTGTGTAATAGTGTTGTATTGGTGTGTCAAGTTGGCAAAAGAGGTCAATAGTCTTGATTAGTTTTTTTGTTTTGTTTTGTTTTGTTTGTTTTGTTTTGACATAAGCCAGAGTCATATAGGAAGAAGAACCTCAACTGAGAAATTGCGTCCTGTAAACTGCCTATAGGCAGGACCGTAGGGTACTTGTTTGATTAATTTTTTGGTGTAAGTAAACACAGGAGATCTTGGGTTTTATAAGAAAGCAGGCCATAGGGAGCAAACAGCTTTCCTCCGTGGCCTGTGCTTCAGGGATTGCTTCAGTTTTCTGCCTTGAGTTTTCATTCAGTGATGGACTATGATGTGCAATTATAAGCTAACTAAACCCCCTTTCACCCAGGTTACTTTTGGTTATGTTATATAAAGCTATAGAACGCAAACTAGGGCATGTTTTCAGCTCAACCTTCTTGTACTGGCCAGAGTTGGTTCTGAAGGAGGTAAGGTGTGTGTGTTGGGGGGGTGGAGGGGTAGGGTGGGGGAGTGGGGGGAGGGGCATGAAGAAGACAAGTAAAAGAAAGAAGTTAAGGAATTTATATGCTAGTTGTTAGTAGGCAGCATATATTCATTTTCTCTCTTCTCACTTTAAAAAGCCCTACCCAGAAAAATTAATATTTGAGAAAGACAATGACTGTTTTCTTGAATAATGAAAAGTGGTTTGATACAGATAAATTAGATCTCTGGTGACAATATTATATATTACTTTCATTACTAAGCCCTGGGAAAATTGATATGGTAGTGTCCTAGTTTGCCCTCTATTGCTATGGTAAAATGCTGACCAAAACCAACTTGGGCAAGAATGGATGACAATAGTCCATCAGGGAGCGAAGTCATGCCCGAAACTCAAGGCAGAAACTTGGAGGAAGGAACTGAGGCAGAAGCACTGGAAGAATGCTTCTTATCGGCATGCTCTCCTTGTTTCGTTCAGTTATCTGTCTTTTAAAACTCAGGACCACTTGCCCAGGATGGCACTTCCTACAAGGGGTTTGGTCCTCCCACATCAATCAAAATCAAGAGACGCAAACTTGGCAGCATCTGGAACACAAGTCTGTGTCCTGATCCAGAGGGAAATACTCCAGATTTAACCCCAATGTTTCTTCTTAATCATAGCTAATTTCTCAGTCCCAGGAACTAGCCTCCAGTGTCCCAATAAAGCAAATATTTCACATCAGTGATCCTAGTCTTTTCTTAAACACAACTGATTTTCAACCATACCTGACCAGGATCACAGATTCTTCATTCAAAATATTGCACAAATAATGTTAATAGTGTCTTTGAGGGACTCCCAAACTTCTTTCTGAAACTTCAAAAGCCAGTCTTCATCATTTGCATTGCTCTCAGCATTATCTTTAAAGTTCCTATAGCATACTATTAAGTTCGCAGTGGCCCAAATTTCTAAATACTTCTGCAACCCTGCCAAAAATAACGTGGTAATGTCTTCAAAGCAGTATCTTGTGATCCCTGTACTGGTTTTGGTTTCGTTATGCTTCCATTGCTACGCAACAACACCATGATCAAAAGCAACTTGGGGAGGAAAAGAGTTTATTACAGCTTATAGTTTATATCCATTTTGAAGAAAAGTCAAGTCAGGAACTCAAGGCAGGGACTGAAGTGGAGGTCATAGAGGAATCCTACTTATTTGTTTGCTCTTTATAGCTTGCTCAGTTTGCTTTCCTATAAACTTAGGACCATCAGTAGAGGGTGGTGGTCTACACAGTAGGCTGTGTTCTCACTAATTAATGATTCATCAAAAAATGTCCCACAGGCATTCTTACTTCCCAGTGATAATAAGCATTTCCCCCGATTGTAGTCCCCCTTTTCCAGATGATCCTAGCTTGTGTAAAGTTGACAAAAAAACAGCCAGCACAGGGTGGCATAGATGTTAAGAGAAGGAAACAAGTTTCTGGGGTCCCTGTTAGAAGTTCTCACTGAAATAATATGTAAAACCAGGTTAGATACATTCTAGAAAAGAAGACTCAGACAAAGAATCATGTCACTTAAGAATAAAAGTCCACTCCCTCCTCACAGTGCCTATAGTGAAAAAAAGGAATTTTAGAGAGAAATTATGTTCAGAACACCAGCCTTTTAAAGTTATCATGAGAAAGAAAAGATTTTTAGTTACTTTCTTTTTTGGAGTTGGGGCAAAAGAAAACAATTAATACTATCCAATGAAACCGTCAGTGTAATTTCAGTTACTGAATACATCCACTTCTTTTATCTCCACCGGAGACTACACAGAACACTTTAAACCATACTGCCAACCCTTAAGATGCAGAGGAAAGTATTTGTGGTTAATGAATATTTAACCATACAATTTCAAAGCTCCTAGTCCAACAAGAAATATGAAAGCAAACAGGGCAGAAAGAAGAAGGTGCACTGCAGGAGATTTAACTGATGCCTGAGGAGGGAACCAAGGCCAGAGGATAAAAAAGGGGAGAAGATTCACAGCCCTCAAAGAGAGAGGACCAGTCATTCACCCATATATCTTTCACTCTACCCTTATCTCCAGAGAGAAGCTGCTTTTCTGGGAATCAAAATGTATTTCTGAATATGTTGTAGCAGAAGTAAAACCAGAATTTGACACTTACATTTCATTTGCTTGAAGATGGACTTGTTAGGTTATAGCCAGTGCTAGGGAGAAAACAAAAACAAAACAGAAATTGTTGGCATGAATGAAAACTCCTGAAAAGAAACTGTCTGCAGAAGCTGATTGATTAAAACTGTATTTCTGTGGAGAGATTAAAGCATTACTTGTGAAGAGGCTAATTTTCTTACATTGTGCTAGTTCTAGTCCTCAAGAACAGCCATTCTTTGCCCACTACTGTGTTTGAATTAAGATTTTTTGTAATGGATAGAAACCTTTTAGAATCTATTAATTTAGCAGACAACTAGCTTTCCCTAATCCAAAAGCTAAGAATTGCATCAGATAGCATGTTGGACCTATAGAAAAACTTCCCTTATCTTGCTATACCCAATTCTATGACGTATCCATGAAAGGATTTTTGAAGAGTTAATGATGTAAATGCCTCAGGACAACCGAGAAACACAAGACAGGAATGTTGATTTGACTGATAACATCTGTGGAAAGTTCCTTTTAAGATCCACAATCTAATCATCCAACCCCAAGCTGGTATCTACAACTTTGAGACTGCAAGGGAACTGACCTACAGATGGAATCTTCCATACCAAAAGTTCCCCATTGGGATAAACTTAGTTTGACCCAGAGATGTTAGGCTTCACTCCGGAAATCCTGGCCAGGGACATTCTACTTGCTTGGATACTACCAGAACTCCTAGCCCCTAAATATTCTCAGATAAACCACAAACAGGCTACAGTCAACAGGAATAGACATTGTTTAGTATCCCCCTCCCTAAGGAAGAAAATTCTCAAAATAGATATTAATTCATTTTAAAAATGCTATTATGCCTGATGGTATTAAGAAAAATATTTAAGTGTTATGTAATATATAGGTATCAAAGTTTCTAAGCTCTAAGATCAAAAAGTCTGGCTAACCTTCCCTTATAATGAGACTTTTTATGCCATCCTAGAGCGGGGAGGAGGGGCACACCCCCACAGATATACACTGAATTGAACTCTGGAACCTAGTTGCAGAGAGGGAGGAATGAAGATCAAAGGGTTCGGTACTAGGCTGGTGAAACCCACAGAATCAACAGGCCTGAACAAGGAGGAGTACAGGGACCCCAGACTGCTGTCTGGGAGGCCACCACAGGACTGAATCAGATCCCTGAACATGACTGTCAATGAGGAGGCCTCTGCACTCTAGGGGGCTCCTGGTAGTGGATTAGTATTTTTCCCTGGTGTAAGAAGGGACTTTGAGAGCCCATCCCACGTGAAGGGATGCACTTTCTGCCTGGACACATGGGGGAGGGCCTAGGCCCGGCCCAGATTGACATGTGAAGCAAGCTTGTTCCAAATTTGAACTAATAAAAAAATTTTAAAAACTGTCTGGCTAAAATGTATGTTGAATCAATCAAAATTTATTTAGACATATTCAGCTATTAAAGTATTAAACAGGAGTGAGAAGTACCTAACTGGTGTAACTAACTTTCTATGTGTTTAATTTCCATACTTGGAGGCTAGTCTAATGTGGTCAGAGGAAATAAGAGGGAGAATATTTTCACTTCTAAGATCAATGAGGTCCCAGGGGACTATGGGCCGTTCCTAGAAATGTTCTCACTCATTCTCTTATTCAGAGAGGCCATGAATAACTGACTCAATGAAGTCTAACCAGTGTCAACTCTACACAGAGGAAAGATTACCTCAGTTCTTCTAGGGGAAGCCATAGCTAGGCTAATCAAAACCTTTGACGGTTTTGTTATCACATAGATGGACAACTGGTTAAAAAAAAAAAAAAAAGATCAAGGAGTCAGAGATTCCTCTTAAGCCCAAGTGACCCTCAAGAAACGAATCCTCAATTGGTCTTAACAGTACAAGGAACCCAGGAAAGCTGGAAATAGATAGGTGACCCATATATAGATAGAAAGGAAGAAAGAAAGACAGAAAGGAAGAAAGGAAAGAAGGAAGAAAGAAAGAATAAAACCAGGAAAGTATAACCAAGCTTAAAATGATTGGTATGTTCCTTTATCGATTCAAGGGACTGCAGTCCTCAGATGTTATATTAGATGATATGAAATGTGATTTGGACAACCTGTCACTAAACAGTCCTCTTCCTGATTACACACTCACACACACCCATACCCATGATCTTAACTATGATCTGAGTAGGAATTATAACAGTCTCATCTTTTGCATGTTATAGATGCTACCTCTCTCACACAATATACTCCAAGGATACATGTCATCTTATTGCTGTCTTATGTTCTAGATCTTTGCCATCTGTTAAGTTTTGTTACTGCCTGTCTCTGAGGTACTCTAACTGTTGCCCTTTCTACATGGTCCCTTTTGTCAGCTCAAAGCAGTTAAGAGAAATCTGTGTCCCCAAACCTCTAAAAGCATATCTGGTAACTTCAAAAAAGGAAACTAATGAACAAGCCAACTCACCCACTCATCTTGCCACTCTAGGTATTGTTTTCAATACCCAGAACTCAGAGCTGAAACAGCTGCCTTGAAGCCTCCCCTGTGTCAGTTAGACTCTCTGTTGTACCACTTCTCAGAAAACTTTAAAGAAATTTCAAATCAGTTAATATCTTTTAGGATCAATTCAATTTTTTGGCTGCTCAGTACTCCAAAAATTAAAGAGAACTAGACCTGACTACAATAAATAAATAAATAAATAAATAAATAAATAAATAAATCTGGAAGGATATTTGCATTATCCATGGACCCAATAGCTATGATATCGATAATTTTATTATTTGATTCTACATTCTGTTACTTCACAAAGTTCCTCCAACAAAGATTACAAGCTTTCACTACCCAGAGAATCAAAGAGTTCTTTCAGGTCAGAAAGATATCAACCACTATCTAACATAGTGACCACCTCTACAGATCACCTCAACTCCTTCACCCCCAAATCCTTGATCACTGCCCCAACTCAGCAGGAAGCACCCTTCCCCTAAACAAATGAAAAAACATACCCATAAATGAAGACCAATCTATAAAGTCTCTGTCTTGAACCTTCTTAAGTCCAATTTTATATCCCCTCAAGGTTGAGATATGTTGGGATAATCATAGTTTGACCTGGAAATATTCAACTCTGCTTCCTAACACTGATTGGCAACGTTGTGCTTGCTCAGAGCCTACAGGAACTCTGCATCCTATATGTTCTCAGAAAACCTGCAGAGAGCCCAGACTCAATACCTGAAACTTCTCTACTCTCAACTACCTGACTTTCACTTGCCCCAATCACACTGAGATCTCAACATCCATTCCCACAGAGAGGTTGTTGCCCTTCATTGTTCTAACATAAGGGCAGTCTCCTTCTGTCTAGTTTGGAGTTATGATCTCCCTTTCTTTGAAGTCATCACAGTCCATTCCCAGTCTACCACCCCCTTTCTACCCTATAAAACTCCAACTCCTACTTTGTTACATGCACACGAGACACCACTCCTGTAGAGTTACTAATATCTTTCAGTTGTTCTGATTCAAAGGACAATTCTGCTTCTGGAAATGCCTGTTTTCTTCCTTTGATTTTCATGTCACCTCCATCAGTTCCAATACAACAGTTTTAAACTTACCTTGATTTGTGTTATTAATTGTTATATAAAGCTATAAAAACATCATGAAACTAATTCCACCTTGGAACATGGAACTTGGGGTAACCTAAATATGTGTTCCCCAGCCATAATCATGCAAAAATAGCTCCAGAATAAACTATTTCTTATTCTCTTTAAGATGAGAATATAGTTTTTTTTGCATCGACAGTATATATTGTGAAAGGAAATTCACAGAAAAAAAGCTGTACCCTCAAACTGAAGCCTTCATCAAGGCTGATTAGGATATTAGAACTTTAAATATTAAGGAGAGTTTTGAATGTTACAGGTCCAGAGGCTAAATAAAATTTACAGAAGGCCATCTTTAACATTCTAAATGGTGATCCCATTCCCATTTCTTTGTTTGATCTAACATCCTGTGACTAATAGGTAAAAAACTTATGAATGCTTTAGCTTAGCAAAACCCCATTTTCCACCAGTCAAAGGACTAAGAATACTGTCAGGAAGGATATATGTGTAGAGTTGCTCTAATCCAACCTCTCTGATGTTTCCATCAAAGTATTGAAAAGTGTTTTGGTTTATGACGTTCTTTGCTCTGTTATTATAAATACTTAATGAAATTGCTTTGTTGTTGGAACACAGGATTTGAGTAAGCTAAATCTATACTCTTGGGTCATGGTCATTTATATTTGGTTCCAAAATAAACTATCTCTTATCCCCTTTGTGGTGAGAGTTGTGTTTCTGTGTCAACATCATGAATTCAGGGAAGTCTATTTTATGTGCACATGATTGCTCCATAGTAGAAAGGAAAAGGGAAAGAGCAGAGTTTTATACTTCACTCTACCTCCCTTTTTGAAGTGCATCTTGCATTCTAGATGCAATGTTTAACCTGAATCTGATCTTCTTGATGAAGAATCTCATGGAAAACTACCTAACTCCATTCTACAAACCTAAGGTCAAGGCGCTCTTGCTAAATTATCTTAGCTCTGTTAACCTGCCTGTTTCTGCAAATCTCTCCCTTCAGCTGTTTTTCTTAGTTCCTGTTTATCTGCTTGATTGTTCAAAACCTCCTCTGCAGCTGCTAAGCGAGCTACCAGGATGAAGATTTTGCCTTTAAAAGACCCTTGCTCTAAAAGGTTAGAGCTAAATCCAGATCCAAATACCTGAATGTAGTTGCAGCTAGTTGTAAGAAAAACTTCAACTGGCTATACACTCTTTCTCATTCATGCTCATGAAATTAAATAAAAGTTAACATGCATCTATTTCTTGCTGAATACCAGGTACACTTCGAAATTTGCTTCTTATATAGTATAGCTTATTCACATTTGCCAATCCTAAGTCTGTGGCTCTTAATCTGAAAAGATTTGGCTATGGTTACCTAGCTAAACCATAATGGAATTCCAGAGAATTTAGCTCCTATGCAGCCTCCCACTGATGAGTTTGCATGACAAAGCAATATTTCCTTTGATGAATATTTTTTAATTTCCCAGGAACTGA